AGATCGGTGCTATAATTTTGGATCTACAATAGTTCAGATAATGCAGAAAATTCTAAACATAAGTGGTGGTAGCAGAACAGTTCACATGCTCAGATGAGATCTCTCACAGAGGGGAGGCGTTCAAATATCAAAAATGAGTGCTAAACTGACGCCGCGCAAGATGAGAACTAACTCAGATCAAAACTACAGAAAACAGGAGGAACAAAGAGGAACGGAGATGAAATCCAGAGGACTCGAGCAAACCCTAATGGGGATCTATGGTGAGGAAAGAGGAAAGCTTACCGGGGCTATTGGACAGCGGAGGCGAGCGGAGGAGCTCTGGTGCGTTCAGGTTGATGCAGCGGCCGAGGTTGAGGCAGTGGATGAAGGTCGATGGTGGCGGCGGAGCTCGGGCGCTTCAGGCATCATGAGGAAGAGGACGAAGACAAGGAGGCAAGGGGGGAAATGAAAAGGACCCCTGTCCCTATTTATAAGGCAGCAGATGGATAGCTTGCGCGTGAATCGAGGAGGCTGAAAAAATGATTATGTGACGGTACAGATGCCTCGATTTTCAGAGGTTCATTAAAAGTGAAGGCATATTGAGATTTGGACCTTGTGTGATATTAATATGAGATGACTTCATGGCGGGCTACCACAATTCTGTGAGCTGATGTCACAGCGGGTTATAAGATTTCGTAAGGACTGACGAGGAAGGATTTTTTTCTAAGTGTTGAAGATTGATATGAACAAGTTCACATCAACCTGGGGCCTAATGTTGGGAATATAACTATTAGGTATGACCCGCCCAGGAGGGGCCGGATCATACCACTGGCGGTTCATAATGAGAAGGCCCAAGAAGATGTTAAAGATGGCAGTTCATGAAGCAAGCTTACTGAAGGACTAAGACCCGGAGGAGACTTGAGGCCCACGGGCATAAACCGCCATATGTTTAACTTGTATGTTAACGAAAGTTTAGTTCTGTCACCGTGCCGGACACGTTGTGTATGAGCCGGCCGGGACTCTGCAAGCCGTCGGGTATCAGCCTGTGTATATAAAGGGGTGACCCCACGGTGGGTTAGGGCAAGAGACGACAAGTTGAGAACTAGGTCAAGCGTATTTGCTCCCGGTAATCGAGACCCAAGCAATACAACCTAAAGCAGGAGTAGGCCTTTACCTCATTGCGAGGGGCCGAACCTGGGTAAAAACTCTCTGTGTCCCTTGTCCCATTTTAACCCCTTGAAGCTAACTACGTTGCGATGGCTCCACACCTAAATCCTCATGCTAGGGCATCTGCCATGCCAATTCCACGACAACACCTCCGAGTTCTGCACACATTCAGCTCGATGACGTCCCTCGAACTCTTGATCCAGTAGAGGCACGAAGGAGTCGATGAGTTCCGTCAGCACGGCTGCATGGTGACGGTGTTGGTGAAGTGATCCGCACAGGGCTTCACCTAAGCACTACGACAATACGATCGGAGGAGTAAACGGTGGAGGGGGCACCGCACACGTCCGAACAATTGATGTGCTTTGGGGTGCCCCTTGCCCTCGTATATAAAGGAGGAGGGGAGGAGGCCGGCCACAAGGGGCGTGCCCCATGGGGAAAGTCCTATTAGGACTCCAAGTCCAATTCGGACCCCCGCTTCCTTTTATCGGAGAGGGAAAGGGGGAAGGAGAGGGAGAAGGAGAAGGAAAGGGGGGCGCCACCCCCTTCCCCACTCCAATTCGGCCTCCTACCTTGTGGGGGCCGCACCAGCCTCTTGTGGGCTGGTTAGCCTCCCTCTTATGGCCCATATCTTTCACCGGGGGTTCTGGTAACACCTCCGGTACTCCGGTATGTATCCGATACACTCCGGAACCCTTCCGGTGTCCGAATACTACCTTCCAATATATCAATCTTTACCTCTCGACCATTTCGAGACTCCTCGTCATGTCCGTGATCTCATCCGAGACTCCGAACAACCTTCGGTCACCAAAAGACATAACTCATATAATACATATCATCATCGAACGTTAAGCGTGCGGACCCTACGGGTTCGAGAACTATGTGGACATGAACGAGACACCTCTCCGGTCAATAACCAATAGAGGAACCTGGATGCTCATGTTGGTTCCCACATATTCTACGACGATCTTTATCGGTCGAACCACAATGTCAACATACGTTATTCCCTTTGTCATCGGTATGTTACTTGCCCAAGGTTCGATCGTCGGTATCTTCACACCTAGTTCAATCTCGTTACCGGCAAGTCTATTTACTCGTTCCGTAATGCATTATCCCGCAACTAACTCATTAGTCACATTCCTTGCAAGGCTTCATATGATGTGCATTACCGAGAGGGCCCAGAGATACCTCTCCAATACTCGTAGTGACAAATCCTAATCTCGATCTATGCCAACCCAACAAATACCTACGTAGATACCTGTAGAGCATCTTTATAATCACACAGTCATATTGTGACGTTTGATAGCACAAGAGGCATTCCTCCGGTGTCCGGGAGTTGCATAATCTCATAGTCAGAGGAATATATATTTGACATGCAGAAAGCAGTAGCAATAAAACTGAACAATCATTATGCTAAGCTAACGGATGGGTCTTGTCCATCACATCATTCTCCTAATGATATGATCTTGTTCATCAAATGACAACACATGTCCATGACTAGGAAACTTAACCATCTTTGATCATTGAGCTAGTCAAGTAGAGGCATACTAGGGACATGGTGTTTTGTCTATATATTCACGCATGTATCAAGTTTCCGGTTAATACAATTCTAGCATGAATAATAAACATTTATCATGATATAAGAAAATATAAAATAACAACTTTTATTATTGCCTCTAGGGCATATTTCCTTCAACAAATACGTAACATATACAGATCAGGGGTGGACGATTGCGTAGTTGAAGGCAACCGGCGCATGGGGGTGCGGCGGATGTTTGACAAGACCTGGGCGGCGGCCGAAGAGGTAGTGTAGCAACGTCCGGCTAGGAGGGGCAAAGCTGGGAGAAAATGGTCCGAGAAAGGGGGCTTTAGTGGGCCAAGGGTGTCATAATCCCACGTGACGGAGGTCCAAACTCGTACAAATCTCCTCCCAGTTTGTGGGACGAACACAAACACAAAGACGCGGTTGCGGACTTTTGGATTGTAGAAAACATCCAAACCTCTGGATATTTATTGTCGATGCCCTTAGAGCATCTCCAACAGATCACGTAAACCTTCGTCCTCTAATTTTTTTTAGAGATCAATGTAAAACGTTTTTACGGGATGGCATGTGTCGACAGAACATATCTCGCATAAATCGTTTCATGTCTCTGCAAAATAGCATAAAGCCCCCTATAAGCAAAATAAAGATTGTGATTGGGTCCTTCCCATATATGGCGCGGGCTAGGGCGGAGGTGCCGCAACACGAGGAGGAGCGCACGCAGTGGAGCAAGACGAGGAGCGTCGGGGCAGACGCGAGGAGCAGGCAGCAACTAGCTAGCGACGACTCGAGCGCCGGTGGCTGCTCATGTCAGGTGGTCACTGGCGTCAAGGCTTTCCGACAAGGTCTGCAAAAATTGCCCCAATCTCGTAGATATAGAGGAAACGGCCCCGGAATATGCATGTTCTCGCAAGAAAAATTACATGATGGACGATTTTACAGGATCTATTCGGGACGGAAAAAAGATCCTCGTCCTGTAAACCGGTAATTATCATGCTCTTACAATGTTATGTGCTAGGGATGTTGCATCATTTAGACGAACCCTCTGTTTGCAACCCTTACAAAAACGAAAACACTAACACCCACACGTGTGACAACATTGCAACTCGCTCACACGCCTGGATAATAGTCCAATTAAGTTTGCATGAATCTTGACACATCTAGGCAATTTTCGCGTGCCACATAGCACAAAGGCCGGTGCGTGGGCGTTGGAGAGGTCACCCACATGCCCCACAGCACGCGGTTGCCAGCTGCGCTGTGTGAGCGAATTAGTTTCTGACCACACAACCACCACCTAGTCCATGCACATGTGGGCGAACTGCTTTTCGCCCACGCGACAGTCGTACGTTGTTGGATGCCAACTGCAGTTGCGCGTACATGGCAACTAGATAAACACACATGGCAACTATGATTCGTTTGCTAGACGGCAACTGCAGTTACGCGTACGTGGCGATCAGGTAAACATACATGGCAACTATGATTAACCACATGTGGCAGCTAGATAAACACACATAACAACTATTGTTTGACCATATGTAGCAAATAGTTATTCACAGACGACAACTATAGTTTGATTACACGCGACAACTATCATAAATTAGACGTGTCAACTATAATTAACCAAAATAAAGAGAGTTGTCATGCTTTTACAATCATATTTGCCATCCCGAATAACTATGCCACACGCGCAGGGTGAAGATGAGTAGTATTTAATGAGAGAGTGGCATGAAGTAGTTGTGCCCACCCGTATAAACAATTCTACAATTCTACTATTCACCCACACATAGTCCGTGTGGCCTGCCCCCCGCTCATGCCACACACGATGTGTGGACGAATGCCTATTATGCCACACGTGTGGTGATCTAAACATTCTTATATTAGTTACGGAGGAAGTACTCGATGAAATATATCAAATTATCATATTTCTTATAACCGAATGAAGTTCTACCAATACCTATATAAGGTAAAAATAAATACTCCCTCTGCAAAGAAAATACTGCTATAAGATCATGTATAAATCATGACTAAACGGTCTTATTCTTTATAGAGGGAGTACCTATTAAATGGAAGGAACGAAGAAAACTGGATAAATCACTACGCAGTATATCACTAGGCACTAGAACAGGTAATGCCATAACATTTCTGGCTCCCGGATAGAGTAACCATGCTGAAAGTTGAAAAATAAACAAAAAGTGCATGACTCCACTTCACAAAAAGATCAGCACACCACATCTATATGTACTATCAAGTAGTATATTAACTAAAGACAGACGCACTGACACAGAACCATCCCTCAAAATGAGGTGACAAGTTGAGATTAACACAGATGGCAATACGCGGCAGGGTAACTCTTGTGATCTAGTGCTTCTTGTTCTTCAGAGCACCCTTCGGGATCTTCGACAGGACCTTCTCTTCAAAGATGGCATAATACTTCTTCAATTCGATCATGGCCTTCTCACCAAAAGCATCAACCTTGTCATCGTACTTCTCATACAGAACTGGCACAGTGTACAGCACCACAAAGACTGCACTCGGGAAAAAAAAAGGTGTCCATTAATAACTTGGATCGATATTTAGTGAGTGGTGATGAAAATAGGCTACAGGTGATCATTACCTATGTATGACAATGTCAAAAAGTTGCAGCAGCTCCCAAGAACAGAAAGAACCCAGAGCCCTCCGATCACCTGGGAATACAAAGTACAGTCACATATTCGTGAGCAGGATCAAGAAATCACCAACCCATTAATCATTGCGAAATCGAAGAGATAACCAACATACAATGAGGAATTTCTTCAGATCACGACCATGACCAATCTCTCTCAAGGTGAAGAAGCCCCGGTTGATCTCATGCCGCAGTGATAGTGCAATGTTTACAGTCATGTCCTCTGGAATTTTCACCTCAGGGATGTTCGGGGGAGACCTAAAATATCATAAACACCAAGGATTAAGGAAAGTTCTAAACAATTAGCAAATTCAAATGGCTAGTAAAGGACGGTGTCTGCAGGCACCACAATCAACAGCAGCAGGTCAAGCATAAGTTGAATCAATTTGATTTGGGAGGAGAAGCTCACTTGTGGATGAAAATGCAGACATTGGAATAGAGGAAGAGGGTTGCCAGGGAGAGGATGAGGCAGTGGCCCACCAAGGTGAGCAGATGGTACTCCATGATCTCGAACAGCAGCCAGATGGCCGTAGCGCCAGCAAGCACCCCTCCTGAGATCTTCTTGTTCCTCCATAGAACAAGATCAGCAGCTGCAAGCAAAAATAATTGCAAGCGTTCACATCAGGCCAAAACACCAGCATAAACATCTAGGTGGTTAAGCAATCCAGATCTGTTCTACTGCCCCCAGATCTTCTCGAGCATATTAGGGGTTTAGAGTGACGACAAACTGTGCCGCCGTTTAACCGTCGCCATTACCAAATTCAACACACAGACCTTCAGTTTACTGCTTATTATGAACAAACTCTAAACCCTCCAACCAAGCTTTAGAACAGGCTGATGGCTGAAATCACATAACCGAGGGTCCTATCGCTTCTATTATCTTATCCTAAAGCTAAAGCTAGTTACTACTACTCCGTACCAAGCAATAAAGTAACAGTTCCCACTAAAACAAGCGAGACGAAACGCGATCAGATCGAATCGGATCTAACACCAAAGCATAATCAATTCCCAATCTGGAACACAGAGCTCGGGGGCTTACGCTTGCCGCCGCCGAGGACGGCGTGGACGGGCTTCTCGCGGCCGAAGAGGCGGTAGATCTTGGCCTTGACGCCCGCCGCCGACCCCTTCTTCTCGTCGTCCGAGTCCGAGGATGACGACGAGGAGTCCCCGCCGCCGTGGAACTTGTCGGAGATCTTGTCCATCATGGACTCCGCCACCGGCTCCTCCTTGTGCTCCGCCATGCTCCCTCCCCCACGCTCCCCTATTCTCCTCCCACGCTAAGAAACGCCCGAGCTTTTCTTCTGGTTGGTTTTCCTTTTCTTTCTTTCTTTCCCCCTTGGCTGCGCGGTCACACAAAGATCTCCGGGTGCGCGTAGCCAGGCGACGACCCTTTATACGGCACGCGACGCGATCGGGGCCGTCCGTCTGGACGCCGCACGGAGGGCGAGGATGCGAGCAAAAGCGGTTTGGAACTGGCTTCGTCCACGCCGTATCAGACGCGCCCCTCGACTTGGGTCCAGCTTTACCCTCTCGCTTAATGACGAATTAAGACCGGGGTGGAGGCTGGGCCCCGGTGACAGGGGACGAGGGTTGCGCGTGCAGGTGGACGGAAGATGGGGTTGTCTTTGGGGGTTAAGTTTGAAGACGCGGACGGGGAGGCGTCGTCATCGCAGGCACGTCCTTGCCGGCCCCACGAGGGAGGACAGCCGGAGGAGATCGCGAGGGTGCGTTGAGCGGAACTGTGACACGTGGTGCGGGGCCGACATCCGTCGGCGCGAAGGTAGTCTTGTCGTCTCGGGCAGAAGCTTCTTGAGCAACGACGCGGCCAAGGAAGTCGGATGGGACGACTTGGAGGATCACATAACTTGGTGGCTAAGGTTTTTTCCGTCAAGTATAAACGCTGATTCATGGAAATAGTTTTTGGACCGATACGGCCAGGTACCTGAAACAATTTTCACCTTCTAGTCCTACCTGCCCCTATCTGCAACCACTCCGGTGATGACCGCACACCCCTGCATCGTCAAGTTTCGGACTCGCTTCCATCGGCTCTAGACGGCTTACGCTCGTCCATTGCTCTGCCTCGTCGCGTCAGCGCTCATCCCTGTCGCTCCTCATGTTGTCCCTGCCTTCAGCCTCCCGGGAAGTAGAAAGTGACTGACGCGTCAAAAAATTCCAGGTACTTGATGGTTAGCAAATGCAATTTTAACCATCGGGGTCTCCATTCATTTTAAAAATGTTGACTGGTTAATTAAAAGAGAACCAAACACCCTCACAATACGCCCTCAAGACAAGGCACTCGGTTGACCTGTCTATCCACATGATCCACACACACCACCGCAAAAGGGAAAACATCATCGATCACTGCTCATGGAGATGCAACTCCGACTTCCCCCGCACATGACCAACCAACAACTCTCAGCCCGAAGGAAGCACGAAAATATTGTTGGGCTATGTCAAACAATCAACCACAAACAGATCCGATGACCAGACATCCCTGACTTCGATGACATGTCACGTAGGAGAAAAGGAGCACACCTAACACCAACAGAGCCCTAGCTGCCCATCATGCGTCATCGTTGCCTTTGAGCTGCCCCGCGTCGCAGCTCCGATTTCACACTTAAGAACAAGCTAGATGGCCAATGACAAAAAAGAGTCGTGACCCTACTAATCTTGCGACAACAATCATCGCCACACAAGTCGCAATGCCTGTACCGCACCGTCGGTCGGGCACCTGCGAACATGATATCATGCATGCTGACACCAGAGAAGCGCAAAATGGATCGATATCTTCAAGACGAAAGAGAGGAAAATGACGCCGCGACCCAATCCCGCGACAGAACCTTGGCTTCTGCCTGTCACAAGGAGGATAATGATGCCCATGGGCATTGTCGTCGCCGATGGTTTTCACTCAGAGCAACACAGCTACCATTCCTACGGCTTCGAGTCATCCACTAATGCCGACAAGTAGCACCACCACTAGCATGTACACGCCCCGACGTAGAGGCAACGCCACCAAGACATCAGAGCCACCAACCTTGTCATCAGCAAGCCGACGATCTAGATCCGTCTGAAAACCATCCAAATTGGTAGCCCATCCACCACAATGTGACATGTCAAGGAGCCAATGTCTGGAGTGCAGGCGATTCCGTGCATCTCATGAGAAGGGGGCGCCACGCCACTCGAATCCGTCGGACAGGGCTGGCGGATCGAGTTGTAGCAGCCCGCCGCATCACTGGGTGTCATTGAGGCCTACTGAGGGAGTTCCGGACTAGGGGGTGTCCGAATAGCCGAACTATCATGATCGGCCGGACTCCAAGACTATGAAGATACAAGATTGAAGACTTCGTCCCGTGTCCGGATGGGACTTTCCTTGGCGTGGAAGGCAAGCTTGGCGATACGGATATGTAGATCTCCTACCATTGTAACCGACTCTGTGTAACCCTAGCCCTCTCCGGTGTCTATATAAACCGGATGGCTTTAGTCCATAGGACGAACAACAATCATACCATAGGCTAGCTTCTAGGGTTTAGCCTCCTTAATCTTGTGGTAGATCTACTCTTGTAACACACATCATCAATATTAATCAAGCAGGACGTAGGGTTTTACCTCCATCAAGAGGGCTCGAACCTGGGTAAAACATCGTGTCCCTTGTCTCCTGTTACCATCCGCCTAGACGCACAGTTCGGGACCCCCTACTCAAGATCTGCCGGTTTTGACACCGACATTGGTGCTTTCATTGAGAGTTCCTCTGTGTCGTCACCGATAGGCTCGATGGCTTCTTCGACCATCATCAACGACGCAGTCCAGGGTGAGACCTTTCTCCCCGGACAGATCTTCGTATTCGGCGGCTTTGCACTGCGGGCCAATTCGCTTGGCCGTCTGGAGCAGATCGAAAGCTACGCCCCTGGCCGTCAGGTCAGATTTGGAAGTTTGAACTTCACGGCTAACATCCGCAGGGACTTGATCCTTGATGGATTCGAGACATAGCCGAGCGTGCCGCACTGTCACGGCGAGCATGATTTAGCTCTGCAGCCGGACAGTACCCTGGAGGCCGCACTCGAAACCTCTCCGATCTTCAATTCGGAGCCAGCTGTGCAGATCGAGGACGGATGGCTAGACATCGCCTCGGGGGCTGCAACCTCTACGGCGATAGAGCCGAACACTGACCTTGTCCCTCGTAAAGCTCGTGACTCCGAGGTGCCGGACTCCGAACCTCCCACGCCCCCTCCGATCGAATCCGATTGGGCGCCAATCATGGAGTTCACCGCAGCGGACATCTTTCAACACTCACCTTTCGGCGACATCTTGAGTTCACTAAAGTATCTCTCGTTATCAGGAGAGCCCTGGCTGGACTGCGGTCAGGACGGTTGGGATGCGGACGACGAAGAAATTCAAAGCCCACCCACCACCCACTTGGTAGCCGCTGTCGACGATCTAACCGACATGCTAGACTACGACTCCGAAGACATCGACGGTATGGACGACGATGCCGGAGACGACCAAGAACCAGCGCCCACCGGGCACTGGAAAGCCACCTCATCATATGACATATACATGGTGGATATCCCAAAGAATGGGAACGACGAAGGAACAGCGGAGGATGACCCCTCCAAGAAACAGCCCAAGCGTCGGCGTCAGCGGCGGCGCTCTAAATCCCGCCACAGCAAGAATGAAGATTCCGGCACCGGAGATAATAATACATCGGACAGTGCCGAAGACAATCCACTCCAGCAAGATCCAGCGCAGGAGGACGGAGACGCCAGCCCTCATGAGAGAGCGGCAGAAGAAGAGGTAGAGGATTATATGCCTCCCTCCGGAGACGAGGCAAGCCTCGACGACGATGAATTCGTCGTGCCTGAGAATCCCGTCGAACAAGAGCGTTTTAAACGCAGGCTTATGGCCACGGTGAACAGCCTCAAGAAAAAGCAGCAACAGCTTAGAGCTGATCAAGATCTGCTAGCCGACAGATGGACTGAAGTCATCGCGGCCGAAGAGCATGAGCTCGAACGCCCCTCCAAAAGCTACCCTAAACGCAAGCTGCTCCCCTGATTAGAGGAGGAAGCGTATGAACCCGCATCACCAGGAGACAATACGGCTGACCGACCACCCCGTGGTCGCGACAGAGAGGCCTCTAGGCCCTTCACTAGACCCGTACCCCGGCATCGCTCGAAAAGCACAAGGCCACAGGGGAACGCTCCGGACTTGCGAGATATATTGGAGGATAAGGCAAGACAATCAAGATCGATCTATGGATCACGTGGGCGCCCCATGGTACGTGACGACAACCGTCGCGCCGGACACAGTAAGTCCGGCCGGGCCGAACAAAACAAACAAAGCTCTTTTGAGCTCCGTCATGACATTGCCCAGTACAGAGGCTCCGCACACCCACTATGCTTCACAGATGAAGCAATGGATCATCAAATCCCCGAAGGGTTTAAATCCGTGATTATCGAATCTTACGATGGCACAACAAACCCCGCGGTTTGGATCGAAGACTATCTTCTTCACATTCACATGGTCTGCGGTGACGATCTTCACGCCATCAAATATCTCCCCCTCAAGCTTAAAGGACCAGCCCGGCATTGGCTTAACAGCTTGCCAGCAGAGTCAATTGGGAGTTGGGAAGACCTAGAAGCCGCATTCCTCGATAACTTCCAAGGCACGTATGTGCGACCACCAGACGATGATGACCTAAGCCACATAATTCAACAGCCAGACGAATCGGCCAGACAATTTTGGACACGGTTCTTAACCAAGAAAAATCAAATCATCGACTGTACCGGATGCGGAGGCCCTCGCGGCCTTTAAGCATAACATCCGCGACGAGTGGCTTGCCCGACACCTGGGACAGGAAAAGCCGAAATCCATGGCAGCCCTCACATCACTCATGACCCGCTTCTGCGCGGGTGAGGACAGCTGGCTAGCACACAGCAACAACCTCAGCAAAAATTCTGGCAGTCCGGATTTCAAGGACCGAAATGGCAGGTCGCGTCGTAACAAAAACAAACACCACATCAACGGCGACAATAGTGAGGATACGACAGTCAATACCGGATTCAGAGGCTCTAAACCCGGTCAGCGGAAAAAGCCATTCAAAAGAACTACTCCGGGTCCGTCCAATTTGGACCGAATACTCGATCGCTCGTGCCAGATACACGGCACCCCCGAAAAACCAGCCAACCACACCAACAGGGACTTTTGGGTATTCAAGCAGGCGGGCAAGTTAATTGCCGAAAACAAT